AGGATTTCTTGAACCTGGCAGTTTGAAGCTGTAGTGAGCAGAGATCATGCCACTGTTCCTCCAGCCTGGGTGACAGAGTGAGACTCTGTCTCAAAAATACATAATTAAAAAAAAAAAAGAAAGCAAATGTTAACTTCTCTACTGAAAATGTTCATGGTTTGAAAGAGAGTAATTTATGTGGGCATACACAATTATAAATGTTGCTAGATATACTTGTAATTGAAAAAATAGGCCTGGCGTGGTGGCTCATGCCTGTAATCCCAGCACTTTGGGAGGCTGAGACAGGCAGATCACCTAAGGTCAGGAGTTCAAGACCCGCCTGGCCAACATGGTGAAACTCTGTCTCTACTAAAAATACAAAAATCAGCAGGGTGTGGTGGTGGGTGCCTGTAATCCCAGGTACTCAGAAAGCTAAGACACGAGAATCGCTTGAGCCTGAGTGGCAGAATTTGCAGTGGCTGAGATTGTACCATAGTACTCCAGTCTGGGCGACAGAGTGAGACTCCATCTCAAGAAAAAAAAAAAAATATTATGGCAATTCCTATTCTGTGAGTTTGTTTATGTGTATCACATTATTTTACCTTCAGAGGTACTTTGGAGTTTTTGTGAATTGCCTAATGCAAAAATATAGGGCACTCTACTTCATCTCATAATTATCTCTTACCCTGTTTGTTAACAGGGAACCGATATGTGTACCCTGAAAAGGCACCCAGGGAACCTGAATACTGACTGCATCCCCAATCGCTTTATAACTTGACCTCCTCCTAGCCCAATGACAACGCAATCTTTAGTCAGGGTGCTGAAAAAGCCCAGGGATGAGGTACATGGTAGAGGAGTTAGGGAGATTGGTTAGGGAAATCTTCAGGGAAGTGGGAAAGGACTAGGGAATGGGGTAAGGGTAGGGAATTGGGTTGGACCAAGGCAGGAATGGAGAAGGGAAAGAGGTGGAGGTAAATAGAGAGGTTAGGGAAGGATCTGTCAGTAATTTTTTGAGACTAAAGAAAAGCTATGGTTACACTAGGAAGGGTTAAGTGCACAGATAAGAGCTATATTTATACAGAGAAGTGCTATACTTCGGGAAAGGCAAGCACCAAGAAAAGAAAATGCTGAAAGTGGGAAACGCATGTGGAGTTTGTAGGGCTGTAGGGTTGCTTGTGTATTGGAGACTGAGGTTTAAGCTAGTGTTAATAGGTGAGAGTATTCAGTGGGACCAATGGCCTCAGGGAGAATGGAGCCGGCCTTTGTCCCAAGACGAAGAAGAATCTAAGGACATTTTCAGGCACTTCCAGAACAGTGCTAAATAACAGGGGGGATAAAAAGTATTCTTGCCTTGTTCCTGGATTTAATGTGAATACCAGGTATATCATGATGTTGGTTTTGAGACAGATATTTTTTGTCACATTAAGTTGTCATATTTTATTTGCTAACAGTTTGTTTAAGGTGTTTGTGTGTATGCATGTGTGTGTGTGTGTACATATATATATTTTTTTAAAAATTTTGTTTTGAGACAGGGTCTTCCTGTGTCACCCAGGCTGGTGTGCAGTGGCATGATTATAGCTTACTGCAGCCTTGCCTCCCTCGTTCAAGCAATCTTTCCACCTCAGCCTCCCAAGTAGCTGAGACCACAGGTGTGTGCCACCATTCTTGGCTAATTTTTTTTTTTTTTTTTTGAGAGATGGAGTCTTGCTCTGTCACCAGGCTGGAGAGCAGTGGCATGATCTCGGGTCACTGCAACCTCTGCCTCCTGGGTTCAAGCAATTCTCCTGCCTCAGCCTCCCGAGTAGCTGGGACTACAGGTGCACCCCACCATGCCCAGCTAATTTTTATTTTTTTAAATTTTTTTGGTATTTGAGTAGAGACGGGGTTTCACCATGTTGCCCAGGCTGGTCTTGTACTCCTGAGCTCAGGCAATTCGCCTGCCTCGGCCTCCCAAAGTGCTGAGATTACAGACGTGAGCCACCGTGCCTGGCCTCTCAGCAAGTTTTTATTTTTACTTTTTTGTAGAGACAGGGTCTCCCTGTGTTGCCCAGGCTAATCCCGAACTCTTGGGCGCAAGTGATACTCCTCTCTTGGATTCCCAAAGTGCTGGGATTACAGGTGTGAGCCTTAATCTAACCATGCCTGGCCTGTAGATATATATTTACAAGCAAGATGATATATAGTTTTCTTTTTAGTACTATCTTTTTCAGATGTGGTACCATGTTTACGCTAGGTCCCTAGAATAAATTTGTAAACTTTGCCTTTTCTTCTCTCTTGAACAATTTATACAGTGTAGGAATTATCTGCTCTGTGAAGGCTTGAATGAATAGCCTATGAAATCATCTGGGTCCAGCACTTTGAGGGTGCGAGAAGAGGGGAGATATTTGGCAACTTTTAAAAAACTAATACATGTATACGTTTAAAATTCCAAACTGCTTCACATACAATGAATAGTCTTCACTTGCAAGTCAATCCACCCCTATTGCCAGTTTCTCTCCCCACAGGCAACCAGTTACCAGCTTTTTGTGTAGCCTTCTGGACACAGTCTGTGAATATTCAAGTACAATGTATGGATATCTATCCATTGCCCTTACATTTTTACCCAGTTGATAGCATATCATACAAACTGTCTGCATCTTGCTTTTTATATGTATGTATGCCTGCATTTATTTATTTTTGTGGAGATGGATTCTTGCTCTGTCACCCAGGCTGGAGTGTAGTGGTGTGATCTCAGCTCACTGCAATCTCCTCCTCCAGGATTCAAGAGATTCTCATCCCTCAGCCTCTCAAGTAGCTGGGACTACAGGCACACGCCACCACGCCAGAAAAATTTTTGTATTTTTAGTAGAGACAGGGTTTCGCCATGTTGCGGTCTTGAACTCCTGAGTTCAGGCAATCTGCCCACCTCGGTCTCCCAAAGTGCTAGGATTACAGGTGTGAGCCACCGCACCCAGCCAGCTTTTAATATGTATTTTAAATTTTTCCTTTCAAAATTTCGTTTTAATGAAATTCCCCACTTGTTTTGAGTCAATTCTGACCATTTTTCTGTGAAATTATTTCCTTAATGTTTCCTGGTTATTTTCATAGAGTTGTATGCTATATTGTCCTGAAACATAGATTAGCCAACAAAGTTCTCCATACCTATTGACTTAAATATTAATTCCACTTCTACCACTTACAAAGGTTCTGAATAACTTTGGGCAAGTCATGCAAGTCCTGCTGTATTGTAAATATCCATGATCTGGCAAAGAGTAATGACTGTAAGTGTATTACAGAAACTGAGTTAGTCTGGCAATTTTTTGAGATACACTTGCAACTAAAAACAGAATAATTCCTATTTTTGGGAGCTTGTTCCTATGCCGCCCCTTCCTTCCTGATTTTCTTTCTACAAAGCATATTGTCTCACACCCAACCAGTACCCTATTAGTTAAATGGGGAGAACAGGCATTGGTAGTCTGAAATAATGCCCAAGTAACCTGAGCACTGCCTGCCTCAATTGTTCTATGGTCTGTCCTCCTCTTTTTTTTTTTTTTTTTTTTTTTTGTGAGACGGAGTCTTGCTTTGTGGCCCAGGCTGGAGTGCAGTGGCGCGATCTCGGCTTACTGCAAGCTCCGCCTCCTGGGTTCAAGCCATTCTCCTGCCTCAGCCTCTGGAGTAGCTGGGACTACAGGCGCCCACCACCTCGCCTAGCTTTTTTTTTTTTTTTTTTTTGTGTGTGTGTGTGTGTGTGTGTATTTTTTAGTAGAGATGGGGTTTCACCGTGTTAGCCAGGATGGTCTCGATCTCCTGACCTCGTGATCCACCCTCCTTGGCCTCCCAAAGTGCTGGGATTACAGGTGTGAGCCGCCGCGCCGGCCGGCCTGTCCTCCTCTTAACCTGGCACCAAGGCTACCTTGAAATACGTGGCCAAGAGGGCCAATAGATGAGGTTAGAAGGGGTAGAAGCTAGGGGCTTGTGGCTAGGGAGAGATAGCTAATTTTGGAGGTTGGCAAGGAAATAGCAGACATTATCAATGGCCTCAGGGAAGTGGGATGGGATGTGGTGGTCTGGTAATCATAGGGTGGGAGGATGAGGTGAGAGGCTGAGGCTGGAGTTGGGGCATTTGTAGATGATATTCCCTTGCAATTACAAAAATATTTCATATCTACTGGCTTAAATTTTAATATCACTTCCACCAGTATTTGTGCAAGTACTAAAATTGTACTTGGTCAGAAGGGGAATTATCGTAAATAAAACAAAACAACAAACACCAAAAAAAAAAAAACCTCCATTCGTTTGGAATTTTGTCCCTCCACATTCCACATTCTTCCTTCTTAAGTTTACTACTTGGATTGCCTTGTGTGTGTGTGTGTATATATATATTATATAAAACATTTTTATTTCACACCCATCCCCTGTGTTGTTGGTCAAATGCTTAACACCACCAAAGGGCACTCAGGCATCCTGGATGCTGATGCTGTCAACAATGGCTGCATGGTCTGACTACATTTTAGCCTGGGGCCAACGTAAACTGGGACCAGAAATACCGTGAAAGTCCAAAAGGATGAGATAAGGAAAAGAGGTTGGGACATGCAGATTATTTTTTATTTAAGTTATTCTCACAATAGTTACTCTCTTTTAGACCCTGAACATTTTCAGTACTTGCGCCAAATGGTTTAGCAACTTTTTTTTTTTTTTTTTTTTTTTTTTTTTTGAGACGGAGTCTCGCTCTGTTGCCCAGGCTGGAGTGCAGTGGAGCGATCTGGGCTCACTGCAAGCTCCGCCTTCCGGGTTCACGCCATTCTCCTGCCTCAGCCTCCCGAGTAGCTGGGACTACAGGCACCCACCACCACGCCCGGCTAATTTTTTTGTATTTTTAGTAGAGACAGGGTTTCACCATGTAGCCAGGATGGTCTCGATCTCCTGACCTTGTGATCCACCCGCCTCGGCCTCCCAAAGTGCTGAGATTACAGGCATGAGCCACCGTGTTTAGCAATTTTTGAAGTGGGATTAACAAGTTTGGTCAACGAAGCTTCTTGCCCGCCCACCCCCAGAGTGGGTGCCCGAGAAAAGTAATCCTGGAGGGTCGGTGTGGAGGCAGTAGAGAGGTTTATAAAAGTCAAGGAAGTGGGAAGAGGCTTGGGAGCAGAAGGAGAGGCGCAGAGTCAGCGGGGCAGGGGCGGCGGCGGAGGGAGCAGTAGGTTGGGGCTTGAACCCTTCATTCCGGGGCACGGAAACTTGAAGTCGCTCGGCGGCCGGGGAAGGGTAGGAAGAGGCAGGCTCTTTCCTAGAATCGCCGTGATAGAGGGTCTGGCACTCCAAGCCAACTCCTGAGAACGGGAAATGGGCGGGGGGGTCGGTGGGGTGGAGAAGGCAGCAGTGGTCGCGAGAGCGAGGGAACGGTCTGAGAATCTGGCTTGAGTGTTAAAGGCGGAGCGTGTCTAGCGGGACCTGTGGCCCGGAAGAAGCGAGACAAGGCGATGCGAAGCTGTCCCTGACACCCCGAGGACCGAGGGAGAGCGAAGGGCCGCGGCCGCCGGCTATTGCCAGGCGCCATTAGGTGACGCGGCCGCACGCGATGACGCGCTGACCGGCCGTGGCCTCCACGTCGCAGGTTCCGCAAAGACCTGTGGGAGCGACCCGGGAGAAGGAGGGCCAAGATGGCGGAAGCGGAGGAGTCTCCAGGAGACCCGGGGACAGCATCGCCCAGGCCCCTGGTGAGCTTGGGATCTGCGACAAAAGGGACCGAGGGTGAGGCAGAGTGCCCCCTAAAGAAGTCGGGGAACGGGCTCGTGGCCTGAGAGCTGGATCCCCTTCCGCCCGGCAGGCCCTTCCTGTACCCGACGCCAGAACCAGTCCCAACGCTACACCTGTTCTTTGTGCTAACCATTTTGCCCCATGCCCTCCTGGTTCCTTCCAGGTCTTTTTGTGAAACTCCGATCTTTCCTTTCCCATCCTCCCAGGGCTCGTCATCGTCCCCTACATTGTGTTAAATGGCGAACTTTAGGTGATTTCTTAAGTTATCTTTTCTTCTGCTGTCCCCTCATTTTTATCAAAACCTGTCACCAACCTTTGTTGAAGAAATGAGAGATTGCTTCCCATGGGACATTAACGTTTTATTGCTTATAACTTTAGTATTGACTTGTTCCGTGACCCCAGTAGGCCAGGTTTAACCCCTGCCATTCCTGTCGCAGCTCCTTGCCATTCTCTTCACCATACTTGTTCTCCTTTCTTATTTTTTACTTTTTTTTTTTTTTTTTTTTAATCGAGACGGTTTTATTCTGTCACCCAGGCTGGAGGGCAGTGGCGCCGTCTCCGCTCACTGCAACCTCTGCCTCCCAGGCTCACATGATCCTCCCACCTCAGCCTCCCTAGTAGGTAGGACCACAGGTGCATGCCACCACACCCGGCTAATTTTTTGTAGTTTTTGTAGAGATGGGGTTTTGCCATGTTGCTCAGGCTGGTCTCGAACTCCTGGGCTCAAGCTATCCTACTGCCTCGGCCTTCCAAAGTGTTGGGATTACAGGCGTGAGCCACTGTGCCCAGCCAACTTCACCATACTCTCTTGCTCCTGTCTCTGCAAGGGATAGAATTTCCATTGCAAGCCCAAAGTGTGGACAAGTATTTTAAGAACACAGGCTTTGGAGTTAAACTTTACCTGGGATGGAATCCACCCACTTTGTGAGTTTGGGCAAGTCATTTTGTGGAGGGTGTTTCTTCATCTGTAAAATGGAGATAAAAATAACTGCCTCAAAAGAGTTTTTAGAAAGATCAAATGGCATAATTTATGTAACATGTCTAATACTATCAGTACCATCAACTGAGGAGTATAAAGAGGTCAACATTCTGCTCCTGTCCCTCTTCTCAATGTGTTTGGTTATATAGTAGTTGCTCACTAAATGGTTCTTCCCTTTCCTCTTTTTTTTTTTTTTTTTTCCTCTTTTTCTTTTTCTTTTTTGAGGCAGAGTTTTGCTCTTGTCGCCCAGGCTGGAGTGCAATGGCACAATCTCTGCTCACTGCAACCTCCGCCTCTGGGATTTAAGCAATTTTCCTGCCTCAGCCTCCCAAGTAGCTGGGATTACAGGTGCCTGCCACTACGTCCAGCTAATTTTTGTATTTTTAGTAGAGATGGGGTTTCACCATGTTGGCCAGGCTAGTCTTGAACTACTGACCTCAGGTGATCTGCCTGCCTCGGCCTCCCAAAGTGCTGGGACACAGGTGTGAGCCACTGTGCCCGGCCCCCTTTCTTCTGTTTTGAATTAGCAACTTAACATAGTGAACTGAGCTAGGAGATCAGTGAACTTGATTCTAGTCCTAGCTCTGCTGCTTACTCTCTCCATTTGTTCACCTCTTCATTCACTCAACAAATATTTATTGAGCATCCATTACTATGTTCCAGGCACTCCTTTCGACACTGGGGATATGGCAATAAGAGTGAGTTGTGTTAAGTTCTATTATGACCTTGAGTAAAATCAGGCTGAACCCCAGTTTCCTCATTTGGAAAAGGGTGATAGGAACACATCACTGAATTAGCGAAGAGTACTAAATGAGATAATATACACGTAGTGCCTACTAAGACATTGTCATAGGTGCTTAGTAGTTTTTAGTTTCTCTCTTTCATTTAAACTTCTCCACCCCTCTTCTGTGAAGCTTTCCCCCAGTTAACTTCAGTGGTTCTAATCACTCATTACTCAATATGCAGTCTGCTTCCATTCAACAAATGTTTAGTGAACTCCCACAATGAGTAATGCACTGTGCTAGTTGCTGTAGGGAATGCAAAGGGCCTACCTCTATAGTGCTACCAGTCTAAGTTGTAGGGATAAGACAAGTACACAATGCTAAAATAAGGCAGTATATAAGAGAAAGTTACACAAAGAATATTACAGAAACTTAAAGGAAAATGCTGTCATGTCCAGTTGGGGTGACCAAGCTACACGGTGGAAGTTATATTTGAAAGGACTTCAAAGGATGGGTAGGATTTGAAATTGCAGGTGAGCATAAGAGCTATCAATAACTGAGCACCTGCTACATGCTAGATATTGTGCTAGACATCCTCTGGGTATTTGCTAAACTTTACAGCAATCATTTCAGTTAGGTGGCTTTTAACTACATTTTATGTGCAGATGAGGATATGAGATGCAGGGAGGTTTGATGATTTCCCTAGGGTCTACATCCAGTTAGTGCCCATGCCTGATATTTGAACCTAGATCTGACTCTGAAGCCCAGACTATATCCATTTGTGCTACACAGCCTCTTGTGAACAAAGGCACAGATGTTGGAAGGTGCTAATATATATATAGAACAACAGGTAGATCACTTTGGCTGAAGCACAGGGAATTATTAGGAGATAAGCCTCCACATGTAAGCCTACTGAGTTAGGAAGGCAGTATGGAACAGTGGTGATTTGGTATGTGTACTCTGGAGTCGATTTGCTTAGGTTTGATTCTAAGCACTGTCACTTAACTAGCGGGATATTGGGGAAATTACCAAACCCCTCCTTGCTTCAGTTTCCCCATCTGTAAAATAGAGATATAACAATACTTAATTCATAGGGTTGTTAGGTGGAATGAGTTAACACATTGGATAAATTAACACACTTAATAGAATGTCTGGCATATAATATTGCAATAAGTATTATTTCTTATTATTGACTACTAACCTGGGAGGCTTAATGGGCTACAAGGAGCCAGTGGAAATTTTTGAGGAGGGAAGAATTTGAAATCATGAATTGGACAACATAATAGAGGGTAAGTTACAGTGGGGGAATATCTGGAATCTAGAAGGGCAGTGAAGCTGTTGCAGTAGTTTTGGGAAGAAATGATAGGGATCTGGACAACAGCAGTGGCAGGAGACAAGAGGATTTCAGACAAGGCAGAATCCACGAGGGTTTGTAGTATGTGAAGGAGGATTTGTCTTAGATCAGTATTTTGCAAACTTTAGTGTGCTAGCAGTCATCTGGGGAATCTTGTTAATTTGCAGGTTCTGATTCAGTTGGTTTGAGATAGGGCCCGAGATTTTGCATTTCTAACAGACTCCCTGGTGATGCTGCTGCTGCTGCTCCCGGTACCACATTTTGAAGAGTATGGTTGTAGACACCCAAGAGTATAGTGACACTCTGAACAAAAATAGGTAATATACAAGGAGGGTTAGCTGGATGAGGGCCTTAAAAGTTGATTAATTCAGTTTGGGACATGTTTAGTTTGCGATACTGGCAGGCCATTTGATAGATATCCAACAGGCAATTGGACTTTAAAACCTGTACTTCAGGGCTCAGAAGAGGTCATGCCTAGAGATGTTGCTTTAGGAGTCATCTGCACAGGGTTACAAAGACGGAATCTTGGGTAATGCCTGTATTTAGCGGGCAGGAAGAAAAGGTAGGCTGTAATAATGACTGCAGTCTGGGGTCTTTTTTTTTTTTTTTTTTTTTTTTTTTTTTTTGAGACAGAGTTTTGCTCTTGTCATCCAGGGCTAGAGTGCAATGGTGCCACCTTGGCTCACTGCAACCTCTGCCTCCCAGGTTCAAGTGATTCTCCTGCCTCAGCCTCCCCGAGTAGCTGGGATCACAGGCATGCACCACCATGCCCAGAAAATTTTTGTATTTTTAGTAGAGATGGGGTTTCACCATGTTGGCCAGGCTGGTCTCAAACTACAATCTGGGATCTTTGGAAGATCTCAGGCTGTGAGGAAGCTGGCCCCAGGTGAAGGGCTGGCTGGAGACCATGCCCACTGGCTATCCCTTCATCCACTCCTGGGAGCCAAGCCTCTTTGAGCTGATTCTGGCTTCATGCTTCCCCTTGTTGGTTCCTTTTTCCAGGATTTTGGTCAATAGTATAACCCATTTGCTCCCAGCTATTTTTTTTTAGGGTTGCAGTCCCTGTTTTTATTGTGTGTTTTTGGCCCTGCCTCTACCTGTTCCCCTTACTGGCCCAAGCCAGGCAGAGCAGTGTGCATGTGTGTTTCTGTGAGCACATCTATATATGTGCAAGAGCCTGCCTGCTGATGGGAAAGGGGAGGGGCATGGATCCAAGTCGCCTTTCCTGCTGAGGGCTAGACAGAGAGCAGGGTCCATTAGCTGAGGCCCTGGAAGTCCTGTCTTTTATACATGGAGCTGGAGGGCCATAGTTCCTGACTCCATAGCTCATGGAACATTGTTGCTAATTCTTGAAGAGATAAAGGGGAGAGAGTAGGAGATCACATGGCACCTCAGTGACTACAGTGACTTCTGATACCAACTACCTGGAGTTAGGCCAAACTGCACAGGTTAAAAGCACAGTCCTCTACAAGACTGCTCTTCAGACACCAGCCACGATTTTGGGGGTTCCCAGGACAATCCTCACTTCAGAGCAAGTAGCTACAAATTCAGGGATTTCCACGTTCCCCTCAGATTTTTTTTTGTTTTTGGCACAATCTCAGCTCACTGCAGCCTCTGCCTCAGCCTCCCAAGTATCTGGGACTACAGGCACATGCCACCATGCCCGGCTAACTTTTGTATTTTTGGTACAGATGGAGTTTCACCATGTTGACCAAGCTGGTCTCGAACTCCTGACCTCAAGTGATCCGCCCATCTTGGCCTCTCAAATTGCTGGGATTACAGGTGTGAGCCATGGCACCTGGCCCTCCCTTCAGGTTTCATAATTCACTAGAATGACTCATAGAACTCAGAGCAGCACTCTACTTAAAATTACAATTTTATTATAGCAAAGGGATACAAATCCAA